CGCATGACGTACGGAACCAGTATTTTCAATTTTTGCGCCGAGTCACGATAGGCAGGAGTTTGTCAAGTGTCGATATCTAAAACTGTTCAGCTACAGAACTAAATTCATCAGCCGATTTTATGTCTTTATTTTAATGATTCATTTATTGAGAGAGGACAGTATCGATTTCTTAATCCTGAAAAGCAGATCTGATATATCAAACGTGCTGGAATGAGAGTTTAAATCCTGGCATAAGCAACGGAGTGGCTCGTGCAATTCAAAATTAGTTTTACAAGCTTTCAGAAATAGGGGGAAAAAGTGTCTTGATACCCGGGAGGGAACATTAAGGCTAACTTCGCCAAGAAGAAGCGGACTTGAAATTGAGCCTGTTAGTAATTTAACTATAAAAATTGTACCAAGCATTTGCCTGCGGCTGGAAAGTGTAGGAAGATTAATAAGTTTTAATCGGCTCGTATAAGGTGGAAGGTTATATTGAGAATCCCAAAGGAAATTTCTTAAAGCAAAAAGTAGGAATTGTTTTTGAATTGACTCTATCTTGTCTGAGTAAATTTGATACCTTGGATTCCAAACCACCGAACCGTATTCCAGAATTGGCCTAACTAATGTTGTAAACAGGGTTTTAGTGATATAAGGGTCATAAAATTCTTTTGACCATCGTTTCACAAATGCAAGTACACCTCTAGCCTTGTTGACTGTCACATTAATATGAAGATTAAAATTAAGCTTAGGATCCATTGTGATACCAGGGTCCACAAAATTGTATACCTGTTCCAGGTTATGGTTACCTATTGTATAAGAAGTGGGATGAACAGCTCTTCGCGAGAAGCTCTTTACTTTACATTTCTTAAGATTTAGAGGCATAAGATTTACTTGACACCAGTAATCCATGCTGTCTAAGTCTAATTGTAGCAAAGACCTTTCTTTAATTGAAACGTACGATTTATAAAGCTTTACATCATCTGCATACATTTAAATTTTGGAAAATTGTATATCTGTAGAAATTTCGTTTATAAAAAGCAAGAACAGAACCGGGCCTAGGTGGCTACCTTGAGGGACTCCTGAAGTAACATCAATGACGTCAGAGATAGTATTTTTAAACATTACCCTTTGTGATCTATCATAGAGGTATGAAGAGATCCAACGTAGAAAATTAGGTGGAAGACCAAGAAGATCAAGTTTGTAGATGAGCAACGAGTGGCACACTTTGTCAAATGCCTTACTGAAGTCAGTATATATAACATCAACAGTTTTGCTTTCACTAAATGCTTTTGAGATGTAGGATGTTAATTCGAGTAAATTTGTAGAAGTTGATTTGCCCTTGCAAAATCCATGTTGGCTATATGAAATGCTAGAAGAGATAGAATGCGTCAACTGATTTGTTATAATTGCTTCAAATAATTTAGGAATTACAGAAAGCTTAGCTATTCCCCGGTAGTTCTCCACTGAAGATCTGCTACCGCTTTTATGTAACGGGGTTATGAACGATTCCTTCCATATAGTTGGAAAAACGCCCTCTTTAAGAGATACATTAAATATCGCTGTTAACGGCTCATAGAGATAATTAGAACAATTTTTAAGAATACAAGTAGGGATCTGGTCAGGACCATAACTGAAGGACTGCTTTAAGGATTTCAGATAAACTACTACATCATCGGGAGATATTACTGGGATATTTGTTGAGTTCATTGGACATAGTTTAAAAGGATAGTCAATGTTAGCATGTGAGTTAATGGAATAATTGGATTTAAAAAACTGAGCGAACATGTTAGAAATTGTTTGATTATCACTAGAGACGGTATTTTGATACTTCATGGCGGAAGGAAACCCACGTACATTTCGCTTGGAGTTTACGAAGTCATAAAATGATTTGGGGTTATATATTATACGCCGTTTGATTTTACACAAGTAAGCTTTATAACACTTTTTGTTTTATTCAAAAAACTTATGACGCAAAAGTGAGTATTTTACATAGTATGAGTGTAAACCGGTTTTTTTGTGTAATCTAAAATAACGCGACTTTCTGTTTTTCAAATTTTTCAGTTCTTTAGTGAACCATAACTGTGTTTGCTCTTCAGGAACATACATGCGTGTAGGCACATGCTTTTCAAATAATTTATGTAAAGTAAAGTTAAAAAGTGCAACGCTTTGTTAAATATTTTCTTTAAATGCAGGCCACGACAATTTAGACAGTTCTTTGTTAAGCATTTTAAAGTTGGCTTTCGAAAAATCAAAGCGAATATATGGTTCGTATGCTTGGGTACTGCAATTTTGACCATCACTTATAACTTCGTAAGATACCTCCATAGCAGGGTGGTAGACATCTTCGGGCAAAACTAGTGGATCACACTTATTTACAACGGACTTAGATGCATCATCAACATAAACAAGATCTAATACTTTACCAAACTTATTGTGAAGTACATTAACCTGAGTTAGGCAGAGTTCAGCCATCTCCTCTAAAAATACGTTGTTGCACGCACTAGACGCGAAAGGTGCGATATCATTGTCAATGATGTTCCATGATATGCTTGGTAAATTAAAATCACCCAACACAATAGGAGTATTCTCGAAGTCTTGCACGATGCACGGATTGCACGAAATGCAAAAATACTATTCCAAATTTCGAAGAGTACGAGAACACCCCATTGCAAAGAGGTAGCATGCATGGGGAGCAAGCAGCGAAATTATGTATCAAATACAATAACAAGAGACAGCAAAAAAAATTAAGTGAGCGAGATGAGAGGAATGAGAGAAATATGTAGCAATTCCAACAACAAAACAACTAGCACAGGGTCGCTATTATCTTGCTATGCTATTTTGCAAAATATATACATGGGTTTCGACGTTGCATATTTTGCAGCGACAGGAAATGTTGTTTCCCATGAATTTTCTTGTTGTGTGTTTGCAATTTATGCAATCCGTGCAATCCGTGCTACGTGCAATGGCTTTGCAAGATTTGGAGAATACCCCTAATCATTGAGTCAGAGGGTTTAGTCAGTAAATTAACTGATTTCAGTAAAGAGATGAGTCGTGAATACACCAATGTGTCAGATCGGGGAGGGATATAGCATAGAGCTAAGTAAATAGACCCTTTTCCAGCCTGTACACGAATGCATTTGAACTCTACTGAATCAATGTGTGGAAGACTAACTTCTTCAGATGGTATTGAAGAGTCTACAGCGAAGAGTACGCCACCGCCGATTCTGTCCTCCCTATCTTGTCTATAGATATGATAATTATTTGGAAGAATCTCTGAATTGAAAATGTGAGGTTTCAGCCAAGTTTCAGTAAAAGAAAGAATATTATAATTACATTCAAGGCCTTTAAAGTATAAGTTCGTTAATTTAGTATTTAAGCCTCTTACATTTTGGTAATAAATACTTAAAGCAGATTTAATAATTAGTTTTTTGATTCAGTGTTATGACGGGGAATATTAGCTAAGTTATTTACTTTTTTGGGCCTATATTCGAATTCACGAAAGCTCCGGTGGGCCAAAAAGAACTACTAAGCAGCGCATTAAAATTATCTAAATTTACGTCAATTTTAAATGAAGCAATATTTCTTTCGTAATTAAAATTAAATTTTCTGATTAAGTCGACAGTTGTAATTTTTGATGAGATGTAAGGCTTTATATCGTATTCGGTAGTGTCTCTCGAAAATCTAGAAACAAAGATTGACTTCTTTGGCGGAACCACAACTGGTTTCCTCGTATCAGACTGGACTACCGGTGGAGGGGGTTGAGTTTCTGCGTTAGTAGTTGAGGATAGGGAAGGCGGTGGAGGCTTTGAAGATGATGCCACCACTTCAATGGGGGAAGGGGAAGATACTTCAGGCTCTTTATTATCCGAAGCAGATTTCGTTGCACGGTCTTTTGAGGCTGAGGACTCTGATGCTGGAGGACACGGAGAGGATAAATTAATTAAGTCCGTCGGAAGATTATTCTGACGTGCAACGGCAGCAATTTCCTTAGATGGACTATGAAGACGCTTACGTTTAGACACACGGATATCCTTAACAGATTGCAAGGTATCTAAGCATTTGAATGATTTAAACATATTTTCATAATGCTTAAATTTTTCTGTCAGTACCGACAATTCTCTTCCTATTTCTGTAAAACCATTTCTGGTTTGCCTATATAGCTTGAAAAGATCAACTTCGGTTGACCTGCACTTTACGCAAGACCAGCGAAGGCCCTTGCCATCATTAATAGCGTCCAGAATTCTTCCCGTCAAACCAGCACATTTCAGATGGTAAATACCATCACACAGCCAGCACGATAAGTAGCGTTCAGAATCGCTTTTAATTTGGCAAGTATCAAGATCACACTTCATATTGAAAGATTTATGTAATACACTCGTTAATAAAAGACAAACAAAATAAATTATAACAATTAAGGAGCTGATGTAAATAGCTTTAAATAAATGTAGCGAACAGTTTGAGTATCACTGTAATTATGACACTTAATAAACGCAACGCAAACAGCTGTGACAAGAATTACTAGAAGAAGTAAACAAAAAGAGTAGAACAAATGTGCAAAAAGAAAATGAAAGTTAACTACAAAGGATACAACAACAATGATAGCAACAAATGACTCGGCAAAATTAGAATGTATGCTAGTGAAATTTATTTAAATTTACTTTAATATAAAACCAATAACTTTCACTTAGCTTCAATTATTTCACACTCTGATGATCATAAGCACTTTTTATCACTACTTTAACACAGAATTAGCACAATGAACTTAGTAAGTAGAAAGCCAAAATCAGAGCACAATAAAGTACAACTTCACAGCTTGACGTTTGCTTAGGTAGGTATGGGTGCGAATCATTGTTCTACAGAAATGCACTATTCATATACTTATTTTAGACGAAATACCTTAAAAGCTTGAACGATGGAAAATCACATCCATTGGGCCAATCGTAACACAGGAGAGTTCGATATACTCAATGGTGCAACAGGTCGATTTAATCTGACCTTCACGGCAAATTTTCTCACTTCCCTATTTTTAGTAATAACTTAACTCCAGCGCCACTTGGCAGCACGTTTTTGCAATGATATTGTCATAATACAGGATCATCTGGCAACCCTGAAATACGAAACAGAAGAAGCAGCAACACGAGAGGAGAATGACAGCTGAACAGGTTAGAGAATCATCTATCTGACCACGCGGTATCAAACATAAGATCAAAAATACGTTTATATCTTTTTATAGAATTGAATTTATGATTGAGTAAATAACGCAACTAGGCTAATACAACAAGTATCATTACATGGTGTCAGGTACGGAAAAACCTGCGTACAAGACAAATTCAACATGAGCGAAGTGGAAGACCTAAAAAACGAAATAATAGCTACGACACCAATGCAAAACACACCGCCACAAAGCGTACTTCCACAAATTCCGCTTCCCGGACCCCCAAACATAAAAGATGGCGACATAAGTGAAAACCTCAGATACTTTAAACAACAGTGGCAAAACTATCTTTCTGCCACAGGGCTAGTACACCAACACGAGGAAGCAAACAAAGCTATCCTACTAACAGCAGTAGGAGACGAAGTCTTCAAACGCTACGCTAACATGCCCATACCAGAAGCCGCTACATCAACAGCGAGCTCGCTACTGCACGAAATTGAGAAACATGGCTCTAATAGCCATATTTAACATGGCCAAACAAGACCAAGATGAATCATACGACG